GCTGGCTGGGGTCAGAGAAGCCTGTGGACATCCAGCCCCCGCCAACAGCTGGGGACCCAGCTCAGTGCGTGCGGTACCAAAAGCCAAGCACGAATATATTTGCTCAAGCCAAAACGGTGCCTCTGCCCTTTGCCGGTACCGCTCAGTGAAACCTTCTGCAACCAGGATTCACATGACTGCTTGCCCAGGAGCACACAGGTGGGCAGAGCCCCATCCCTGCTGCCCAGCTGCCAAGGGACCATTTGTTTGTCCAGGAAATCTCTGTGGCACAGGAATATGAGCTAAAGCCAGTTCATCTCCATACAATCACAGAATCATTAAGGCTGGAAAAGACCTCAAGGATCATCAAGTCCAACCATCAACCCAACACCACCCAACCCACTAACCCATGTCCCGAAGCACCACATCTACACGTTTCTTGACCCCCTCCAGGGATGGTGACTCCACCACTGCCCTGGGCAGCCTGTTCCAATGCCTCATCACTCTTGCAGTGAGGAAATTCTTTCTAATATCCAACCTAAACCTACAGGGGCACAATCCTGCCCTGCTCCTGCTGGCCACACTATTGCTGATGCAGGCCAGGATGCCGTTGGCCTTCTTGGCCACCTGGGCACACTGCTGGCTCCTGTTCAGCCGGCTGTTGACCAGCACCCCCAGCTCCCTCTCTGCTGGGCAGCTTTCCAGCCACTCTCCCCCGAGCCTGTAGCGTTGCAGGGGGTTGTTGTGACCAAAGTGCAGGACCCGGCACTTGGCTTTATTGAACCTCATCCAGTGGCCTCAGCCCATGGGTCCAGCCTGTCCAGATCCCTCTGCAGAGCCTCCCGACCCTCTAGGAGGTCAACACACCCGCTCAGTTTGGTGTCATCAGCAAACTGACGGAGGGAGCACTCCATCCCCTCATCCAGGTCATTGATAAAGATGTTAAACAGGATAGACCCAAAACCGATCCCCAGCAGCCCTTACCCGAGCACGAAGCAGCAGTGCAGGCTCTATGACCCTACACTTCCATGCTCTTCACTTACGCCTTTTAAATTGCTATTGTTTCCAGTGAAAAGCTTTATCTGTTGGAGTATGTTCATCTGCATGCTCGCAAACAACTGTGCCAGCAACAACCCTTGTCTCTTCCTCTGTGACTAACAAGGAATTTGGGTTTTTTTCCTTTTTGTGAGCTGGGATAGGATGCAGTACCTTGACAATTATAAGGTGGGGACTGATGTCCAGCTTTACTGGTGGGAAAGTGCTTTCAGGTGTACACAGGGCCTTGCACAGCTGAAGGGGCTTAACAGGAACAGCTTGGGCTAGAAATGACATTTTTAAACTGAACTGGATTACATTTCTTCCTGCTGTAATAACACCCGTAGCATCTGTTTTCAATGTACAGGCACTAAATGGCATCAAAACTACCGTCCTGCATCAGCTTTATGGTCCTGCCAGCCCCCGTGCAGCTCTTGTTGCCAACTAATGCCCCATCCAAATCTAACTAATCATTTAATTAACCTAATCTAACTAATGCCCCGTCCAGATCTCACTGACAACCACAATGTCGCCTGCAAGTTGTGCATCTCTGCCTGGGGCTCCGAATGCTCCGGCCGTCCCAACCCAGGGTCCCTTCCAGCGCCCGGCTGAGCAGCACCTTCTCCTTTGGTGACCACAGACAAGTGGAGCACACAAGAAGCATGGCACTGTTTAGAAATTATGGGCTATATTTAGTCAGCGGGTTAGACCACACTTTAAATTGCACGATTAAATAACTTGTTCCCTTCATCAGATGGTAAGGGACAACTGGGACAAATATCCCGCTGCCATTCCTGAGCAGCCTGCTCATTCGCACGCTCTCCGCTTACTGCTTGAACGTCGTGTTTTGCTGTAAGCAATGTACAGGGCAGTATGTTGTGGTTTCAAATTGTCCCTATTTCTCAATTAATTTTAATGAAAAATAATCCCCATTGTCTCTCCTCCTTCCCAGGGCGTGTGCAAGCTGAAGGAGGGAGCAGAGAACCTGATGAGACATTCACACGTTCGTAATCGAGGTCTCTGGGAGATTTATTCCAACGAGCCTCACCCACTGTTAACCACCTGCAATAGCGCTGGGAAGATGTGGCATGTTACATCACCCCCATTCCCAGTTGGCAGGGTGTATTTTGGGGAGCGGGTGGAGGAAAAGGCTCCTTCTAAGAAAATAATCTGGCTGAAGAAATGAGCAGAGATTGCCTGCTCCAGAAATAACTGCCCAGGAAAGCATCTCCTGCCCTTCAGAGCTCTCAGCAATCCCATTCCTTCAGAGGAAGAAGATCTTCAGGAAGCTCCTGGAACGTGGCTCCTCTGCAGTTCCACATTGCTGGGTGCAGTGACTAGAGCAAAGCGTGGCAGCTCTCTCCAGCATCATCAAGTCTGTGCTTGCCTTGGAGCGCAGAGTCTGGGAGATCCCAACCTGGATCCCAACCTCTTGGCTTGAGCCGCCGCTCGGGGCTGGCTGCGTGGCCCGTCGGAAAGGGCAGCGCTGGGACCAGTAAAACCAGAACTGCATTCAGTCGGCACCTTTGAGAACCAAAAAGCCTTCCCTGCACGTCAAAAATGAGAACAAAGCAATCATTCTGTAAGCTGTGTGAGATCCTGGGATTTGTCCAGATGACTCCAGGCGTCTCTCCCAGCCCGGGTTTTCCTAGGGAAGCAAGACTGGATGAGGGGCAGCTGGAATGAGGAAACCAAAAAGGGAACCGGCTGGAGATCCATCACCGCCACATGCAAGGGGAGGTAAGGTGCACAAGTGGCTCTGGGTGCTGAAGAAGCCTGTACAAAGGCTTTGGACCTCACGCTCACTGAAGTCCAAGCAGTGCAGAAGGAGGAGGAGGAGGAGGAGGAGGCTGGGCTGCTGCTGAGCAAGGGATCAGAAGAGAGCAGGGGTGGGTGTGGACAGCAGTGGGCGCAGGAGGAGGCAGTGCCAGAGTGCGCTGGAGCTCTTTGCCAGAGAAAGCTAAGGAAGCAGGACACACTGCCTCGGTGGGACCACCACACAACGGATGTCACAGCGGAGCAAGAGGCAAGAATGAACAAAACCTTCCTGACTCTGGACAAACTGGAGACAAAAAAAAAAAAAAAACCAGGCAGGAAAGGAGGAGTGTATTTCTGATGAGCAACGGTTAAAAAAAGAGTCATTAGGAGCATCCTTTAGAGACAAGGTGGTGACTTGGAGAGGACCTGCGCTGCAGCAGGTGGGAGCATGAGCCAGCAGTGTCAGGAGAGGTATGGATGAGGTAGAAACAGCACTTGAACTTGCCACCATGCTGCAGGGACCTCAGTTCAGCGCATGCTCACGGTGCTGCTTCTGCCCAGCACGTGTGGACCTCAACCGGACTCCGCCATGGGCTCTTCCCTGCAGGGACATGCTCTGATCTACACCAGGCAAAAACTGAGTCTTGCTGAATTTAGGCACCTGAGATCAGCATGGTCCTGGATACAACAGGGCTGTGCTCACACCCTGCCTTGGGAACGCACCGAGCCCCGCAGCACCAGCAGCTTGAACTTACCTGATGTCCGTGTCCACATCTGGCCCCACATCAGCACGCCTCCAGCTGTGATGCACGAGGATGGGGTGGGCAAATTTCCACCTGTACCACGCAAGGGCTTTGCGTGAGGAATCACTCCTGCATTTGCACTTCGGCCGCTGCCCAGGGCTGGGTGGGAGCAGCACGGCGTGGTTCTGCGCTGCAGGAGCCCACGGCTCGCCTCACCCCAGCTCCCCACCCTGGGAACCCACAACAGGTCTGTGCTTCCCAGTCTCAGAGGTACCCTTCGCCTGGGTTGCTGCAGTATAGGGGAAAAACACATGGGGAGTGAAGGAATGGGGCAACGGAAGAGAAGAGCCCGTGTACAGCCATAGAGGCCAGCTGGAGGATTTTAGACCAGAGTTTCAAGTGGCCTGTTAACACTGGAGAGCAGAGCACAGCTTGGACAGCCACCAGCATCGCAGCCAGGCTCTCCCAAGGGCAAGCACCACGTCCGTAGAGGAACTCCTGCGGCGCAGAGACCCACAGGCAGAGCTCCAAGCTCAGGGCTTTGCAGGGATGGTGCTGGGGAGGAGGAAACTCCTGACCCAGGAAAGAGGACGAGGTGGGAGCTCCTGAGGTGCAGAGGCAGAGCTGTGCCTGAGCCCCACAGGCTGGGAAACGCAGGTCCCAGCGTTAGCACTGAGGCCACCAGCCAGGCAGGCACCTCCAGAAGAGCAGCAAGGCCTAAGGAGGGACACCCCCAAAGGTGGCAAGTGGGTCCTTTGCCCATGGTAATTTTGGACTAGTTCCTCCTTCTGTCCTCGCCCAGCCTGGCCGAGCTGGGCACAGGGAACGGCTCCTGCTGCCAGCGTTCTCCGCTGCGGCTGGTCCTGCCCTGCAGCTCCCTCCCCACCAAATACTCCTCATACACTTCTTTTAAAACTTTTATTCAACAATATAGAATTCTTTGAATTATAATATAGAAGTATCTGTCGTGATACTACAGCCCCTGCCACCCCCACACCCCAGCCGAGGCGGGCGTCAGAGGCTGGAGGGGGACGGGCTGGAGCGGAGGAAGGAACAACTAACCAACAACTGCTTTGCACGCCCTGCACGGTTTTTTCCATGCTTTCTGGGTCAGAAAGAGCTCAACAAGGAACCAAAGGCAGAAGAACCTTTAACGCTTGGAGGGAAGGGCTGTCCGGCCAGGAGTAGCGCCCAGCTCTCAGCCCTGCCCGCGCCGCGCAGGCTGCCCGCTGCCGCTCTACACGCGCCAAGAGGAGGTTTGACTCCATTCTCGTTCTGCTTATGGAAAATTGGGAGCAACAGCATCAGACCTGTGGAGAGACGGGAGGAGGGAAGTGAGCGTTGCAGGGCGCTGCCAGCTCCCTGCAGAGCTCCTCTGGCCCCTGGTGACGAGGAGATGGCTGGGCTCACTGCCCCACGTCCTGCCACCCTGGTCCCAGCCCAGCCGCACCCGCTGTGCCCCTCGGGCTGCAGGGACCGCAGGGGATCCTCAGCCTGCTTTGGACGGAGGGGCAGGGGAGAAGGGAAGGCAGGGTCCAGAAAGGCACAGTCCAGAAAAGCAGCACTTTCACAAGCAGCCAGACACAAGTTTGGACATTTTCTCCCCAACCTCCTGTGTTGTCTCCCTCCACTGCCACAAACATCTCCTCCAGCCCTGCTAAAGGCTCCTGTCATGCCACAGCACACTTGCAACAGGCATGGACATGGGGGAAGTTGCTTACCACATCCCTCTCCTACCGTGTCCCTCAACGGCTGCCGTGGTTCTGGTTTTGAGCCAAACCTGCTGCTCTGCCTCTGCTAGAAAGCTGGGGCCAGGCCAGCTGAAAGGCCAGAACGTGCACCAGGACTCTCCCAACTTTCTCCACTAGAAAGCATATGAAGATGCACGTTCCCCACTCTCCTCCCTTCCTAAGGGAGGCTCTTCTCCAGCTCCCAGCTGTCCCTGCAGGCAGGATGGCATTTTGCTAAGGTCTGGAGAACAGCAGGGTTTCCTGCTCCGAGTGCTGGAGGGACCCATGAGGACAGAGACGAACTGGCCCAAGCTGCAGCCAAGCATCCACACTGATCAGGAGACTCCACACCCTCCTGACTCCCAGGCTCTGCTTGCTCAGCTGCCGTGTTTTCCTCCAAGATGAATCTGTCACAGCTCATCCTGCCCTAGAGCTGGGGAAGGGATGTGGGGAGATACGGAGCAGGTTCTTCCAGCCTTGCTGGTTACTGCAACCAGGGAAAGCCATCTACTCATCTCACTTGCTGGGAAGAGCATCTCTCTTCCTCTGCTTGAGGGTACCAGGAAAGAATTTCTGACTCAGGTTTACAGAACTCGAAGCACCACCTTGAAACTCCACCATCGGGTTTGGACACTGTCAAGTACTTGCATACAACCATCAACATTTTCCACCTATCAACATTCCCACACTGAGCTCATTCTTCTCCCCCACGCCTCTTCTGCCTTGGCTCTCCAGACCCTAGGAATGCCAACACACAAGAGCTGGAAAACGGGCACATTTCCCTCAGAGCAACTTGGACAGGCCATGAGAAACATCCCCTCCTGCTTCTGCTCAATGGAGCAATTCAATACTGTTTAAAATCAGTTCAGAAAGTGGTGTTCAAACCCCAAACCAGCACGGCTTCAGAGCACAAGAAACTCCCCTGCCTCTCAGGCCAGGCAGCCCATAAGTCAGGCAGACAGAAACCCAGAGAGGGCTGGAAACCCTCGCCCAAGCCTTCAGCAGCATCTGCAGGAGAGTTTAACGTTAGCAACAGCAGCACCTCCACCCACACTCCTCAGTCCGGACACTGATCACTGAGCTTATGCACCAGCTGCATCCCAGGGTGGGAAGAAAGAAGAGCTCCTGCCGGCTCAGCACGTCTTTAGAAGAGGCATCTGCCCAGGCTGAGAGGAGACAAGCATGGGGGTAGTGCAGGTGGAGAACCCCCAGCTTCCAGCCACGCATCAGTGACTTCTTGTCTGACCAGCCGTGTAACAGACGGGCTGCGACCGCTGCCTCGGGCACCCGCTGCTGAGTCCAACGAATCACAACAGCCGACTCCCACGCTGTACCCCAAACCTTCCACCGCCTCTGTGGCCCCAGGCAAGCGGAGACAATCTGCCAAGGTGAAACTCCCAGTGCTGACAGAACGAAGAACTGCAACCACAGACTAAGAGATCCCAAGAGACTCAGACAAGATGGGCTGGAAGAGCCAACCTGACCTCCTCCAGCTCTCACTCTTCGGGCTATCCCATAGACTGGAGACGGCAGACGTTCAGATGTATAGATATTTATTGGATTCAGTGAATTATACAAATGGATTGACCTGCTATCGATGCCAATAGAACTTTATTGGAATATGGAATGTAAACAGATGTTTCAAATAGAAACATTGCAACCTTATAAAAAAATTAACTATTTCAACAATGCCGCAGAAGGAAATTCTGTGTTTAGGTGCTGGTGGGAAAACACTATCTCCAGCTTCTAGGTTTGAATGTCACCAGAACCACTTGATGAAGTTACACACAGAACAAGTAGAGGAGGCAACTGTGAATTGTGGGGTTATAAAGCCATCGAGGGATCTGATGAAAGAACCCACAAGATGAACCCCCCACCCCCCACAACAGGATTCGGCACCCCGGAATTCAACACATGGCTGACTTTGTTAAAAGAAAAAAAAAATCTACATGGGATCCCAAGTCCTGGATCAGTAGCTGCACAGCGCCCTCCCCAAAAAGACCACGCTGCTCTTTGCTGATCCTTCCCCCTCCCCGTGATCTCCTCGCGGGCCTCCTCTGCACTCCTCCATGCTGCGGTGCCGGATTGA